ATGATTCCGAGACCACATTTTAAATATGTGTTAAAATATTTAAATATATTTAAATCAAAATAATTATGCGACGAGATAAGCAAATTTCTCTTAAGTAGATAAATTACAATATCAATATCAGTCCATAGAGAACTGCTTTGTATCTTTCAGCGTAAGGAGGATATTTTTTTCCGAAAATAACAGAGTTTTGACTAGCAATCTAACCGAAAAACATTTACAAGCAAGGCGTAGCAAAGATCGATCCGCCGCATATAATGTAGCATGCCTACATATAACCATAGGTGCCCCACCCTTAATTATTATTTGGCTAGTAGGGAATCTTTATCGAGTGATGTCATTCAGTAGTTGGTTCTAGAAATATACCAGCTGACCAACTATTGCATTGAGTGCTTCATGTGATACAATTGATCAAAAAACTTTGAACAGCTCCCTCTAATTAGATATGTTCCTCAGAATGCTGGAGAGAATTTGGCAACGGAACCTAACGGTGGAACGAGTGCCAACTGTGCTTCTATATTTGATGTCACGAGCTGGTTATTCCGAGACAACCCATGTACAGTTTCTTACTATCCACTGTGCTCAAGACCTTCAGTAGATGGTGAGCTACTCTTCTGTTTTGAAACCTTGGAAGGTAATCTGAACAGAAAAGTGCAGAGAGTAAACACTCTGTGGAGGAATTTGTTCTGAGATTTTGAATATTTTATGCATTTAACTGCCAAATTAATCCCCTTGAAACAATTTCACGAGCAAACTGCCGAATTTCAGGACCCTAGGCAAAGCAGAGCTAATCTCTCACGCAATGACTTCCTGAGCTAATATCCAGCTTCCAAGATTGAATAATCTAATATCTTTCATTCATTCCACATTTAACGTCATGGATATGTATTCTACTGCAGGTCTCTGCGAGTATCCTTTTGTTTTGGTTGGCACTCAGTGTGTTCACATAATTACGACCGGATACCGATGGCACGAGGCTCGTAACCAGTGTGTGCTGGTCGGTGGGGACCTGTTTGTTGTAGACGACTGCGATCAGTACCACAAGGTTGCCCTCTACCTCTCTGAACAAGGTAACCGTTTGAAAAGTTCTATATAATCTTTCAAAATAAACACTGTCAATCAAACCCTGATGATTTTTGTACTGTTAAATTTAATTAGGACAACTAAGTCCAGAGCTGTGAAGTTGAGGTTTAATACGCGAGTGATGTAGACCTGCATACCTTACGTTAAAATGGAGTCAATGATTAATTTCTATTTACCCCCAGCAGCCTAACGCCTTCAGGAAGTGGTTAATCCTGGAGAACTTCCTTTTTACATTTTAGTGACATTTATATCGTTAGTGTCAGGGAAACAGCAGCGTTTTAAACAGTAAAATATTTCAAAACTAAATTCCTTATCCCCTTCATTTTTGTCTCTTTTCTGAATAAGGTTACCCATACTTTTGGATCGGGGGCTCCGATGAGGCCGAGGAAGGGCAATGGCGCTGGGTTGACGGTTCGCCGATGACCATGCGACTGCCTTACTGGTCAACTGTAAGGATACTGACTCAAATATTTAAAAGAAGTGCACGAATAAGAATAAAAAGAGCCAGCTCAGAAATGCGTAGTCATATCAGATTTTGAAAACAATGGAAATTAATTGTTATCAGTCGAAGCTGGATGTCGGTGATATAATCGTTACAGGATAGATTGCAACCTTTGCCGTTATCATCTCACTAATGGAAGATGTTAACTACTTCGCCTGGACTTCTGAATAAAAGTTTCGTCGTTTTCGTTGGTTGTTTCCTATACACTTGTACCTAAATCCAATACTAGGTTTATATGCAAATTGAAGAAGTTCATCTTGAGTTCCAGAATTAACTGCAAACATAATTTGCTGTTCTCCATGGACAAGATCTCACGAATTTCTTTGGCTTGTTGAAGCAGCGACAATCCAAAGTTAATTTATAAACAACAGTTTGTTTCACGAAAAATCTTGCCGGTATCTATTTTCGGTATCATCTACAGCGTAAAAAAGCGTTATTATATGGCAAGTGGCTGCATGATTTGATTTGCTCAACTCACTAATTTTAGACCGAGACACTTATATTTTTATACATGTATGAACTTGCAATCAAAAGTTACTTTCCTCGAATGTTGATTTCTGAAATCGATTGATTCATGGAATCAATTGACTATATAAACATTCTTTTTACTGTTATTGGGTCTCCAGTCAGATCAGTTTTGAAAATTTGATCATTAAGATAAATTGAATAAATGCATTGAACTAAAATTTCTGGATCAATGTATATAACGGCATTATCGCAAACTTATGACAAAACCGAATTTTGCAAGAGTTCAGTTAGAAATGTATTCAAAAATACGGTATACATGAAAACTTAAAACTTGGGGTGGAATAAAGTCATTTTGGTAATAGGGAACTTTGGAGAATCCAGGACCATGTAATATATCTGGAAATACTGTAATTTAAATAATATATATTTGCCTTTCTAATGTAAATGCTGTAACAATCAACACCCTGGATGATTGTTGCAATAATCATCCAGGGTGATTGTTACATTGATGTAACAATAATAATTGAAGATGTTAGCTTTATTTTTGCGCAGTTGAATAGTGGACCGCTAGAACCCGACAATCCTGGCAAGCAGAACTGCCTGGAGCTGAACTGCGCGTGGATGTACCGCTTCAGCAGCGCGTGGTGCAGTGATGCAAGACGGGTGATCTGTGAGGCAGACCCCATCTAGAGGAGTGCTGTTCATGCCCCATCTAGAGGAGTGCTGTTCATGCCCCATCTAGAGGAATGCTGTTCATGTCCCATCTAGAGGAGTGCTGTTCATGCCCCATCTAGAGGAGTGCTGTTCATGCCCCATCTATAGAGGAGTGCTGTTCATGCCCCATCTAGAGGAGTGCAGCGTTTGCCCCACATTGAGTGTTTTTTATGTTCTATTTGTGGGATTCTTTTAAATGTTCAATCAAGATGGTCATAATTTCTGTCGTTTCCAGACCAGTGTTTTATTGTCCTCTCTATAGAATGGCCCATCTGCAGGGTGCTTATATTATACCCGTCATTCCATCATAGGATAGGAGGTCTAGGGATAGATAATCTTCAAGATTTGTGAATCATTTTCCTCATTGGTTCTGTAATCACCTGATGGATTTGTAACTGAGAGTAAGGGTACTTTATTGTTCCATGTAGGACTAAGGCAGGACAAGTGAAACACTCGGTAACACTAGTTCTATTATAATAACAAACTGGCTCGGTGAGTACAGAAGGAAGGAAATTGACAAGGACAGCATAAGTATGTAGCGGAGGAGCGGACTAGCATTATGACGGCTAGGCAGTACCGCTACAACTGACGAGCGGTGCACAGATCGAGATATATATAGGCCATAACAGGGATGACGTCACTGAGCGTGACTCTACCATGTGGGTACAGAACAAGCTAAGCTGGTGACGTATGATAACCTAGATGGATAGCAGATCACTGGACAGATGGTGATAGGTCACCGGACATAAACGTTACGGAAATTCATTCCATTTTTCATTTCCTATTTAGAGAGTGACATGAGCCTTTGTTCGATTTTGACTCTCCTTGTAGGAAGTATTGCTAAGCTAAGCATTCAAAAGCTAAGAAAATTACACATTAATTTACCACATCTTTAAATAAAATGTTTGGAGTCCAGCTCCATCGTCAATTAGAAATTTTCAGAAAAAAATAGTATCAGTTGTCTGTACAATTGAAATAAAAAACAAGCTAAAAATTAAATATACAGATAAAAGGCAATGAAAACAACATGAAAAACCTGTCCATTCTAAACTTCAAGTGGACAAAAGCTAAAGGCTGTATTCAAACTATACCTCTTCTTGAAAATATACAATTAAGGATTCTAAAAAAACGTATTCAAAAATCATCAGAGGTGGAAACTAAAATCTTAGTCACTATAGAATATTGGCACATTGGCAATTAGGAGGACGCGCTGTTAAATGGCCATTTCTACACATTTTTCCTTTGTGCTCCGCTTTCCTAGATTGAAGATTGCGTGCTACCTACACGTTAAAGCAAAGGTAAGCATATTTATTGTCTAATGAAGGATTTTTATGATTATTTGTTCGAAGTGGTACATAGCTGAAGTAATTAATTCAGATAAGATTAATGAGTTCTAAACCCTAATTATGTCAATTTTCGTTTCACTGGTGCAGACTTGCATACAATCTAGTAATGTTTTCGTAATCTGACTGTATTACAAAGACTGATGTTTGAGTCGGGAATGATAATTAATCAAAAGTTTAGTAACACGGATACTGTGGCTTGGCTCTAAACAGTGTTGAGAGAGCGCTCGAGTTTGTCAGAACTTGCAAGTTTCATCGTCAAATGAAAATTCCAAATTGATTTACCAATAAATTAATTGTAGAAAAATTAATAAATCGGATAACATATGTAGCTCAGACATTTAATACTCGTGCAACCCAAGTCTTGTTAATTTAACAACTGCAAATTCCTGTGAACTATATAACGTATGTCCATAGTTTGCATTGTGTTTGAAGAACGTGAAGCAGTTGACAGATGCCGTTTGACATGTTAATGTCTACTCTGTGTTTGCGAAGCAGCTGGCACTCTGCCTGTCATTAAGAAATTTACTGGAAAATTTTGATTGCGGATGCGACATCCACCGTGGCGCTACAGCTTGACGCCTGTAACTATTACTGTGCTTTAGTTAATATGGCTTAGTGTATGCGTGGTGTGTCCTGTAAGATACTGATGCTAAGTTCTCTTACGATTGTCGTGTATGGAGCTGATTGAAAAATGAAATTCTAATTCTGAGGTTAATTCGGGAGCAATAAAACCTTCAGTTTCATCAGTCACCGAGGCGGCATCCAAGCGGGCCAGCGCCACGGTGGATGTCGCATCCGCAATCAAAATTTTCCAGTCAATTTCTCAATGACCGGCAGATTGCCAGATGCTTCGCAAACACAGTGTTGATACTAACAGTGTTAACAGCATCCGTCAACCTCTTCACGTTCTTCAAACACAATGCAAACTATGGGCATACACGTTATATATTTCATAGGAGTTTACAGTTATGTTAACAAGACTTAGGTTACACGAGTATTAAATATGTGAGCTACACATTTTAGAATTCGATTTATCGATTTTTCCACATTTTATTGTGAAATCAATTAGAAACTTTTTTTTAACGATGAAACTTACAAGTTCTGACAAACTCGAGCGCTCTCAACAATGTTTATAGCCAAGCCACAATATGCATGGTACTAAACTCGTGATTAATTATCCATCCCGACTCAAACATCAGTCTTTGTAATATAGTCAGATTACGAAAACATTACTAGATTGTATGCAAGTCTGCACCAGTGAAACAAAATTGACATAATTAGGGTTTAGAACTCATTAATCTTATCTGAATTAATTACTTCAGCTATGTACCACTTTGAACAAATAATCATCGAAATCCTTCATTGGACAATAAATATGCTTGCCTTTAATTGTTTTAACGTGTAGGTAGCACGCAATCTTTTATCCAGGAAAGCGGAGAACAAAGGGAGTAGTTGTAGAACTGGCCATTTGACAGCGCGTCTACCTAATTCAGCTGTGCGCAGTGCGCACTCACGCAGTGGTCACGCCATCGTACGTGTGACGCGCCAATATTCTATAGTGACTAAGATTTTAGTTTCCACCTCTGATGGTTTCGAATACGTTTTTTAGAATCCTTGTATATTTTCAAAAAGAGGTATAGTTTGAATACAGCCTTTAGCTTTTGCCCGCTTGAAATTTAGAATAGATAGGCTTTTCATGTTGTTTTCATTGCCTTTTATCTGTATATTTAATTTTAGCATATTGTTTTTTAGTTAAATTGTACTGACAACTAATATTTTTCAAGAAATTTCTATTGACGATGGTGCTGGACTCCAAAACATTTTATTTAAAGACGTGGTGAATTATGGTGTAATTTTCTTTACTTTTGAAGGTCGAAATACTTCCTCCAAGAAAAATCAAAATTGGACAAAGGCTCATGTTACTCTCTAAATAGGAAATGAAAAATAGAATGAATTTTCCGTAACGTTTATGTCCGGTCATCTTCTATCACCATCTGTCCGGTGATCTTCTATCAACATCTGTCCGGTGATCTTCTATCACCATCTAGGTTATCATACGTCACCAGCTTAGCTAGTTCTGTACCCACATGGTAGAGTCACGCTCAGTGACGTCATCCCTGTTAAGGACTATATATAGCCCGGTCAGTGTACCGCTCGTCAGTCGTAGCGGTACTGCCTAGCCGTCATCTTGCTAGTCCGCTCCTCCGGCACATACTTGTGCTGTACCTGTCAAATCCTTTCCTTCTGTACTCACCGAGCCAGTTTATTATTATAATAGAACTAGTGTTACCGAGTGTTTCACTTGTCCTGCCTTAGTCCTACTTGGAACAATAAAGTCCCCTGACTCTCAGTTACAAATCCATCACGTGGTCACAGAACCGACCACCTGACATTATTTATAATTTTTGCGCAAGAATTTCTTTAAAAAAATTTCTTTGCATTCCATAACATGACATAATCATATGGCTTCTATCTTAAAAAGTGGGTTTGAAATATCCGAATCAATAATAATTAGTAAACTTTGCAAATGAGGAAAATGATTCACAAATCTTGAAGAATATCTATCCCTAGACCTCCTATCATTTGATGGAAAAGACGGGTATAATATAAGCCCCCTACAGATGGGCCATTCTATAGAGAGGACAATAAAACAATGGTCTGGAAGCGACAGAAATTATGACCATCTAGATTGAACATTTAAAAGAATCCTCTAGATAGAACATAAAAAACACTCCTCAAGATGGGGCAAACGCTGCACTCCTCTAGATGGGGCATGAACAGCACTCCTCAGTCATTATACTTACAGTTGACCAGTAAGGCAGTCGCATGGTCATCGGCGAACCGTCAACCCAGCGCCATTGCCCTTCCTCGGCCTCATCTGAGCCCCCGATCCAATAGTAAGGGTCCCCTTATTCAGAAAAGAAAAAACAAATCTAGGGAATAAGAATTTAAGTTTCGAAATATTATTCTGTATAAAGCCGCTGCTGTTTCCCTGACACTCACGATATACCTGTCACTAGATTGGGAAAGGGAAGTTCCCATGAGTTAACACTTTCTAGAGGCGTAATGTTGATGGGGGTAATTAGAAATTAATCATGGTAAGAATTGACTTTATTTTAACCTAAGTAATGCGGGTCTACATCACTGGCATGTTAAACCTCAACTTCACAGCTCAGGTCTTAGTTATCTTAATTAAATTTAACCGTACAAATATCATTAGGGTTTGGCAGGCAGTGTTTATTTTGAAAGATTATATAGAACTTTTTAAATGGTTACCTTGTTCAGCGAGGTAGAGGGCAACCTTGTGGTACTGATCGCAGTCGTCTACAACAATCAGGTCCCCACCGACCAGTCCACACTGGTTACGAGCCTCGTGCCAGGGGTAGTTGGTCGTAATCATGTGTACACACTGAGTGCCAACCAAAACAAAAGGATGCTGGCAGACACCTGCAGTAGAATATATATCCATGATGTTAAATATGGAATGCATGAACGATATTAGATTATTAAAACTTGGAAGCTGGATATTAGCTCCAGGACCTGCCGAACTTTTAAAAGTCATTGCATAAAAGATTAGTTCTGCTTTGCCAAGGGTCTAGCCTTTCGTGCGTTTCTTCTGACTTAACTAAG